CCCCCTCGCCGCTCGACAGCAGAACTTTGGGGAAAAACCAGGAGGAAATTTCGGAAAAACTGGTGGGATGTCAGGGAAAAACCTGAGAAATTTCCCTGTTTCACATTGGGTATATACCCCTTCCCCTTCCTCCGCTCGACGGAAAATTCTTGGCTGAAAAACTGGAAATTTTTCGGGAAAAAGTGGTAGGAAGTTGGGAAAATCTAGGAAAGTGGTAGGTAGCATGGGAGGGGGGGGTCGTATTTGAGGATAGAATTAGGGGGGGTCGTATTTTTCAGGAAATGATCACAACGGGATGGCGTGCCCTGCTTGAGGTACAGTCTTGTTCGCTGTTGATGATGTCGAAGAGAAGGCTGTGGTGCGAAAGGCGTGCTAAGTACATACCGCCTCACGCTCCTTTATCTGTAGTCGACAAGCATCCTTGCTATTTTCTTGAATAAATCTTCGCTCAAGTTTCAAAAAGGACTAGACTAGACTCCCTATCTCCCGAATATCTATATGAAAAATAACTCGTGTGGGAAATGGCAGTGATTTTTCTGGTTAGTGGGACTTGTTTTGGGTCAGTTGTTTGAATACTCGATTGAGGGCGCTCTGCAGTTCCTATGAGAGCCACGGATTAGTTTTCGCAAAAGTGTATAGAGGTGGGCGGGTGTGCATTGCAAATGATATCCGATTGGCCGTATTATCCGCTTCCACGCGTCTAATCGTAGGAGAAATGTGACGCACAACTGTGCTGTTTTTTCAGCAGACCCTTGCAAGAGTTCGAATAACCTCAGATTCTCACTTCAATTTGTACAAATAAAGGCTCCACAAAACGGAAATACTTCGCTTCTTCAGTCTAGAAGGTCTCTGAGCTTCATCTCGTTCTGAACTTTGTGGTAGCGGGCTCCATACAAGCGTTGGTTAGTCCCTGTAGATATGCCATGCATTGCTCATCTGTTGAGAATCACAAGGAAATTGGATGCTTCTTTACTATGCAGTGTGTGGTCTAACGTATGAGTTTTCTATCTCAAAAGTTCTAAAGCTACCCAACTCCTAACGGAGTTGAAGGATTTGTTAATCTGGGCGGGATTCGATACATGCACAGGTTCGCTATAGGGTAGTCTACATTTGCGGCCACACTCTGCAAGCACGTCAGATGGAAAGCTTGTCTGCATTTGCGGCCACACTACCTGGAACGTATACTTCTACCAATCCTAAGTTCTTTCAGGATTACTTCTGCTCAGTATTCAATGCTTCCTGGTCATATTAGTAATAGTGGCCTTAATTTAAGGTGTGGTCACAAATTTCACCGTTCGTGCAAGTCGACTTGGAGGCACGTGTTGCGATCATGTGCCCTTATTTCTCATCGCGGGAACATTTCCACTTAAAGTTGTTCGTCTCGCTTTCGGCTGTCTTGGAGGTCGTGTCTGATAAGGGAGGATTCGACTGGTAGGCTGGGAGGTCTATCTAGTGTCTTGCACTCGCGCAGCAGGAAGTCCTGTGGTAAAGTGGAGGGTTTCACTCATTATCAGTCACAGCCTATCTGACTGGATTCGCGCTTTCTTGTGTTGAGCGCACCATTGTGTCCGTGTGAGATTGTGATTCAGTTAGAGGATATAGTCTTCTTGACTGCGGATCATGGAGCATATCAGTGATTAAGTCCGACCATTTCTTCTTCATCAGCTGTTGAAGCGAATAAGTGGGAGCAATTGGTGGAAAACGACTGTTGGGAACGATACGATACTGTTTTGTCACTGATCGCTTCTGGGAAGGAGGTTCAGCGCCGCGCCCAACGCCCCATCATCCGCAGATAGCAAGACCGCATTTTGAGGCTAGGAGTACAGTGAACAGCGCAGACATACTTTGTACGATTAGTACAGTTCTCATCCGTGACTTGATTATTGCGGCAAAGGATGCGGCGCGGCTGCGGTGTGTTGCGAGCGCGGCGATCACCTGTTTCCAGCCTATTTTAGTCATTTTCTCCCTAGTTTACGCTGTTTTGGCTGCTTTTCTCACGATTAGTTGTTTCTTGTCTTCACAAGTTAAATTATGATTGAGATTCTTCTGGTTTTTGCGTACAATTAAACAGTTAAGCAGATAATAGAACAAATAGCTAAAAAAAATCGCAAAAACACTCTATTGCAAAACAAAAGAAGAACACTCCTCGTCCTAATATACTTCATATAGACGATAGAACAACTAACCTAAAAAATAGAAAATAATCGTGAGAAAAGCAGCCAAAACAGCGTAAACTAGGGAGAAAATAGGCTGGAAACAGCTGATCGCCGCGCTCGCAACACACCGCAGCCGCGTCGCGTCCCTTGCCGCCCAAATCAAGTCACCGGATGACGGCTGCAGACGTCATAGATGTACAAACGCTTGGACCGATTCGTCCTTTACCTCGTGTACATAGGCAGTACGAAAACTGTGGTTATAGCATCAGATAACCGCGTGAAGAATTGTGTCGTTCAACTCGATGTCTCCAATTCGCTTTTACGAATTTGCCGTTTTCAGGCGGGTCTTTCTGTAGCGGATCCGACACAATGTCCGGCCAACAAGGTGGATATGGCCAACCTCCGAATATGCAGCAACAGCAGGTTTCAATAATCTTCAATAATCCATGACAGTTTTGTGGATAGTTTGTTGAGACTGTATATAATTATTGATTCAGATGATGTATAATCAGCAGCATATGATGGGACGACAGATGGGTCAAATGGGTGTTCAGCGACAGGTATGTAACGGGATGGATTGTTACCTTCATATCCATGAATTCTTCATAGTAGCCGGGAGCGTGCACTGAAATAATTCCGTTCCATTTCCAAATGACATGGGACCCGTAGCGGATGTAAGACCGGGTTCATACTTATCGAATAAGGAGCAGGGTACGTCGTGCCATAGGTGGAATTTTTCGCACTACACATACAATTCCTTCTTTCGAAACTTCGACCTCTAGTATGGCTCTCCTTCCAATCTCCATTCAACCGCCATCATGCATCACACTCCTGACCTTCCTTTCGACATCCCGCCACTCTTCCAGTCTTGCTCTCCGCTTTCCCCCAAAAAGCTGCCGAAAGGAGAGGAGGAGGAGGGGGGGGGGGAGGAAAGGGTATAGCGCCTTTAAAGCAGGAAAAACCGTTGAAAAGCAAATACGGCCTCCTCGCAGGGGTCCCTAACGTGCGAAGTGCTCTGATGAGAAGAATCCGTGATTCTTGAGAATCTACTGAACTACTTTTTTTGATAGTTTACAGCGACCTATACGTATAATTCAGAATGTGTTATTCCTTAGATCACACAGTTCTGTAGAATCTGTGACAGAGGGTCAGATGGAAATCAACAGGTTTCCGTCTGACCCTCTGCCACAGATTCTACAGAACTGTGTAGTCCGTTCATTGACAAATTTGACGGTCAGCTTCAAGAAATAGCTCAAGAGCAGAGATCGAGTTGCTTCACGTGGAGAAGCCAACTCGGTTGGTATTTAGTGGTCGTGGCTTCCGCATCCTTCATCCATGGGACTACTTATTCTTGATAGTTTCCTGTTTTGCTGGAACAACAGTTTTCAAACAGATCCCGTGGCAGTGCTATGAATCTTCGAACAGATCCCGTGGCAGTCCTATGAAGTGTTCTAAAGTCATGAAAAAATAATAGTAAATAATTTCCTTCTCACGCTTGCTTGAAAGAAGGCTCTTTGTTGAAAGTGAACAGGCTTTTCAGATGTATCCTCAAGACTCCGGGATGTCTCAGCAGCAAGGACAAATGCCGATGCACTTCGCACCGCAACAGCAACAACAGATGCAAATGGGTCAGCCACAAATGGGCCAAATGCCACAACTACAACCACAACAACCACAACAGCAGCCCACGATGAGCCACCAACAGCAAATGCCTATGGGTTTGCAGCAGCAACTGGGTCCCCAACAAATGGGAATGCAGCAACAGCAGCCACAGATGGTTCAACAGCAAATGGGACAGCAGCAGCAACCTGTGCAACAGCAACTTTCGCAGCAACCTCAGCAGCCAATGGGTCAACAGTCTATGCATTCCAGCCAACCGCAGGTGAGACCATATTTTAGATATTTCACGACCACTTTTTCTTGCATCTCTTTGTCGATATTGTGCACACTTTCACATTTCGCAAGACCGCGTAGGCCAGGAGTACACGTCAGGTGACCGTGATGACTCAACAAACACTAGCCATCTGTGTCCTCTCTTAGATATTATCCTAGTGCACTTTTTGCCCTCATTAGAGAGCTGTACTTACAGATAATCACTCATTTTAACGTCATACGTTACAGCTAACTTCGATACTGGGCGGCTCACTTGGAAGCGTTTCTCAACAGCATATGCAGATGCAACAACCTCGAAGTCCAATGACTAGCTCTGTTGGACCGGTATGTTCTAACATTTCCGTCCTCAGGATAGTGCTCATTTGTAGAAAACTTCTTTTTTTCAGCAGCAACTCACTCCTGGTGGTGGTCCAGGCTCTCAAGCACCCGGCTCAACGCTTGCAGCAGCTAGTGCAGGAGGTCCTACCTCTGTCGGGCCACTATCTGTGCAACCACATACTCCAATGAACCCTGCTTCTCAACAAGCCATACCTCAACCGTCATCTGTGCAACAAGGACCAGCATCGGTTCCTCCAGGCACACCAGCTAGTAATCAGGTACGTAGGGACATATCTGAAGTCAGTCCGAATAGTAAAGATGGGCGAGATTCGGTTTGGGGGAGGGAGGGAGGCGGGAGGTGGGAGTTTTTTTTGCAATGTTGCCACTTCCCATCGAAATGTCGAGCCATCAAGAGAAAACTCTGAGTTTCTGTCAGGCCATGAAGTAAAACTAGTGAAGGTTCGAGGAAACCCCTTGTCATTTCACAAAAATGTCAAAAAACAATGAACACGAGATGGGAAGTGGTGAAATTGCAAATACTCCCACCCCCTGCCAAGCTGAATGTGGAGAAAGCGTCTCAATCGCTTACCAGCTCTTCAACTACGACAGTTCACCGGTTTGAATTACACCTTTGAATTTTAATAACAAAAGTTCCTGAGTGAGGGACAATGAATAATATCTTTCTGGTCGTATCTCTGTTTCTTTGTTTTTAGCCCGCGCCGCAATCGTCTTCCACAGGAGAACCGACGCAGCCGTACTTACAAGATCCGGTGGCGCATAGTAAGCAGCTCATTATGAAAGATCTCCGCTTCTCTATCATTGTGAGTTGGATAGGTGAAATAGGCCCACGTTTATTTAATTAAGTGCTTTTGATATAGGATCTGAATCGAAGGGCTGGTGAGGCCCTCAAAGATCTTCGTGCAGGCAATCCTCCGTCAAATTCGAATGAGTACCTAAAGGCTATGGACAATCTGTTTGCAGTATGCGACGAAATCGAAGGAAATCTGGCACGTTTCTTTTGTGGTGAAACACTTCTTCGTGAAATTTGCTTCCTTTCTAATGCTTTGCGTTTTTAGATTTTGGTATGCGAAACACAAAAACAGATGAGTAAAATGGAGAAAATCTTTGACAAGGACGCTATGAAGGAGCATATGGGTTTTTCCGACTCGAAAGGGGTAAGTCTTTTTTTTGTTTGATCAGCTTCATAAAGCTTCCGAGGTGGTAGGCGGAGCTAGCAAACCAAGAGATTGGCGCTTTGTTGGAAACCGAAGCCAGGTGACGTCGGTGACGGTTGTAGGGCTTTTGTAAACTCTCACTAGGAGGGTTCTCATGGCCTTTGGTGGTCGGGCACTTGAAGGGTGGAGAATGAGGAGGAGAGGAAAAAGGTGGAAGGAAGGAAGGAAGAAAGAAGGAAGGAAATGAACGAAGAAGGAAGAGAAAAAAAGGAGAAGGAAGGTATTGGTTGACAGGTGTCCTGTTGCGTACTAGCGACCCCGTTCACTGGCTTTGCCCACCCGTGAATCCCGCACGGTGTTTCAGGAAATTTCTTAACCAAACAGCAATAGATCTGATTGTAGCGCCACATCGGAGGTGACGACGATTCGGGAGCGAATCTTGCTGCGGTCAATACTTATATTGATCAGACAAAACAGGTAATATTCCTTTTGTGTGCTGCTCACACTTTTCGAAACTATTGAGAGAGTTTCCAGCTGCAAGCCGCTTTTGATCGCGCTTTTTCACATGTTGGCCGAACGCTGGAAACAATCCGACGTAGACAAAATATGAGCTCAAAGAACCCGAAAATCGAACCGATGGATATGTGAAGCGGGTGATTCCACAAAATTGACACAACCGGTCAGCAAATTTCGTGTTGGTTTCACAGCTGATGGTTGTGTGACCTGGTTTTCATTGTTTTGTAGTTTCTAATATCCCATCTCTTGATCATATTCGTATTTGCTCTCTTGCAGCCAGCTGTTTCTCAAACAGGGCACGTTGTCATTGGGGAAAAATTTCGCAAAATACGACTTCCCACCCCAAGTTGCAGCCTCTGGTACGACCCCTTCCCGTTTCCCATCTTATCTATCATCTTCCTAATTTGTTCATTTTTCGTAACTCCTCCTTCTCCTTCCTTCTTCCCGTCGAGGCGCTGGGTAGGGAGGGGGGTGTCAAACCGTGGTGCAACACGAAAAGCCGAAGTCAACAACTAAAAATTTCCCTCAGAAGCACACACGACCCCTTCGCTGGAGATCTCCAGCGTACGACGTGCCCTGTTCTCAATTGGTTTCGTTGATTACATTTCTGTTTGTACATAAATGGATATATAAAATTGCTATAAGGAATAGTTTATCCGCAATACATTACATTGGAGATCACGGTGTAACAAACATAATTAGACCTCCAAGCAGTAATCGTTGTCTTGTGTAAGGATCGCTCAAGCTAAGTCTCTTTACAATTCGATCAAATCAGTGATAATTACTCAAGATAACTGCATCACCCATTACACAAACAGAGAACTTCTAGAAGGTCATCAACAACGTCAACAGATTGTTCAACGGTAATATAACCACGTCTAACGAAAACTTTAGGACATGTTCAGGGTTAGAACCCTGAATAACTGAACACATCTTGCTGTTTGGCCAATTCCAGAAGCATAGGATCGTCGAAGAATTTGTTGACAGAGACATCCTCTGATAAGCCTTTTCTCCTTCTGAAAATTCAAATCCACTCTGCAATAACTTCTGACCAATAAAGTGGAATTCTTAGTTGGCGACGATAGGTGATAGCAAATGCTGCGGTCGAGAAATAAGGATGAATAAGTTGCTGACAATGAGATTAGCCATCAATCGCCAGCTGAGAATTTATATGGCTTGAGATCCTTGAACGATTGCAGCCACTGTCCCTCCAAACAAGCAAGCGAGGGGCATGGAATGAAGCGTACCCTGAGCGGCCATTTCCAGCACGGCGACCTGAGCCCGATATGGCTGCTGTTGCTGCGTTACCCTTACACCCTCTCTCGTTTGGAAGCATAATGACGGTTATTGGACATACCTCGTTTTGATCATGAACTCCCTGGCAAGGTGAGGCGTTGGTTGCAGCTCAAGCGGTCGGATCACTATAGATTTGTCCAAAGGATCACCGGGTACGATCTATGAACAAATGAAGAAGATTGAGTGCAGCTGATCGCGAAGAAAAGTGAAGTGGTCAAAGTGGTACCTGCCAGTGATTGAACACCGACATGCAGAATGCCTGTCCTTGAGTGTGGGTACGCAGATCTGTCTCAAAACCGAACGAATCCATCACAGGAATAAACGCCTAAAATGCTTTATATAATAGAATTATACCGATCCAGTCAATTTCAGGCCAAGTTCATACTTTGCGAATGTGAAGAATCCGCGGTTCAAAACATAACGTGAAGCAAAGTTTGTGCATCGATCTGGAGGGAGAATCCCGTCACAGCCGTGCCGTTTTTGCAGGATTCACAGTTCGGCAACAATGGATAATAAAGAACAATATATCTTGACTGGTCGTCATGAATCCTTCCGAACCACGAATTATCTACATTCGCAAAGTATAATAAAGGGCGCGGCTTCGGAAAAAAGCGCTGAGGCTACAAAAGCTGGCTGGATGGATCAAAACCTGTCTCCATCATCTGCTGCTCCTACTTATGGGAGACGGACAAGACAATGGTAATTCGTCGCGTCGCCGCACGCGCTGTACCGTGCGACCACACGAGACACAATATAGTGCAACCATACGCGGCAACAGGGCACATCATTGGTTGGGGATTTTAGTCGACTCTATACTACGACCCCCCCCTTTTTTTTGGGAGTTGGTACGACCCCCCCCCCCAGCCCTCCTTTTATCGAATCGAGGCCGTCGCAGCGGGGGGGGGGAGGGGCAATATAGGGTCGACGTTGAAAAATTTTTGCTGTCGAGCGGTTGGGGGCATTAGTTATTAAAACACGCTGGGGGAAAACAGGAAGAAATCAACCCAAAGTCACCCCGCCACTTCCACAACGCCAAACACGTAATATACGAACCCGCCCCCCCTCCAAATATCAAGGTTACAACGAACGACCCCCCCCCCTTCACAACGTCCATGAAGCGAGAAAAATCAACTATCAGAATAAATTTTTCCCAGCGTGCCCTGCGCGGCAAGTTCTCGATCAGTTTTTCGATTGGAGCAGTGCAACTTGTACGTATTCAAGCAAGACTCCATGACGGGCGATATCAAATTTTCCCAAACGATCACGCAGGACAACTCGTCTGTAGGGTGCGGCTCGCACGCCACGCCCACCAACGTGGCATATCGCCAAGTCTTGTCACATACCCCCTACTCATTAAGCTGTACCTTTATTGAATACATTGGCGATCCAGGTATCGGTGAATCCGTAGTAACGTGACCTCTTCGCTTTGCTAACACGGTGTAAACGGAAGATACGCAATCGGCTGGAGCGATGACTTCAACGACAAAGTAGGGTTCCATCAGACGAGGTGTTGCCATCTAGAATGTGCCCATTGGAAAGGTCTTCAACGCTTTAAAATGAAACTGCTGGCACGAAACTCACAAGAAATGCAGAATATGCGCATCGACGGGCTGTGGGGATAACTTGGCCACCTCCCCTGTACAAAGGTTCCTTAGCAATCACAGCGTCCAGCATCTTGAACTTCACGTTACGAATTGCTGAAACGTAGCATTTATCAGATTTCCACAAAAAAAAACACTTCTTGAAAGCTTACGTTCTTCACACAAGGGCCCCTCTCGCGTTGCCCATTGGAATCCTTGTACAAGAGATTCGCGTACTGTGCCCAGCAGTTGTTTATCAACCTAAAAACCAGTATAAGCTTTCAGATCATCTAAGTGCTGGGCGAAAAGTAAAGGTGACCTCAGATGGTAGAGTATCATCCAGTAAAACATTAGGACCGGCGATGTCAGGTCCGAATGCCCATATGGAACGGGCTGCAAGCAAATCCCATTCATACTTTGTCTGGAAGAATTCTCCGATTCGTCGACGGTTCCATCCAATTTGAACAACCTGAAGCAACAGCAAGGCATAGAAAGAACTTCGAGGAATGTCATAGTCTAGAGGTGAAAATAATTAGCAAGCAAACCTCATTTTCAATATCTTCTGCTAGACCTTTTTCCAGAGGAGAGGTTCAGAAATCATGGTATGATTTTATTCCTAAACAACATCTATTTGACTAACATTTCCTGAAGTAAAAGAAAGAATGCTAACTTTTTGTTAGGAGTTAGCCCCAAAGATTTCAGAGAGGATGTTTCCACTACGGTTCTCACAGAACGCCACTTTAATATCGATTTCGGAGAATACCTTAAAATAAAAGAGTAATTTGAACAAAAAACTAAGAGCTAGCAGTATCTGACAATACCTTTCGCATATCATGCATCACGCTGTCCATGTAGAGTTCTCCTGTACCCAAAAGGACATGCTCACCAGACTCCTCCACACGGGTAGTTAAGAGTGGATAAGACTTATTCACCTCAAAATTTCATGAATTATCTTAAAAGTTGTAAACGGGTTTTGTTGAAGTAGTTCACCTTTCTTAAGCCATCAAGCATTTTGGGAAGTTCGGATGGGTTGATGGGTTCAATCGCCATTTTCACCACACTTTTCGTGTTGAATTTCAAGGGGCGGAAGATGTACATCTGAAAATAAGGTTATTCGAGAGTTCTATTACGAATTTCTCTGCGGCCACTCACATCTTCCTCATAATCCAACTCAGCGATGGTTGCGGTTTTCACAATTGGTTGATCTATTCCTTCAATAAGAGCCCAACAACCGGCTGGCACACGAGACACTTCTATCTGGTATCTGGCTACATGAACCCAAAGACGGCCCACGGTTAAACGGCGACAATCTTCTTCATCCTGCAAATACGACATTCTAGAGGGCAATCGAAAGAATCATGTAGAAAAAAACATTTTGACTTGAACGTCAACAGTTAACTTTCGCACCTGAATACTGTAATTCTCTCCAAGAACCCGGACGTCAGCATTACTCTCAATAGTTCCACTTATAACACGCC